CTCTCTAAACTCTTTACTGAAGTTGAAATGGAAGCATTACTCCCTAACTCATTCCTGGAGGCAAGTGTAACCCTGAAACCAAAACCAGAGAAAGACCTAACCAAAAAAGAGAATGACATGCCAGTCTCCTTAACAAATATGATGCCAAAATCCTCAATAAGATACTAGCAAACAGAATACAGCAAATCAGGAAGATAATACACCATGATTATGACCCAGTGGGATTCATCCCAGGAATGCAGAAGTGGTTGAACATATGCAAGTCAATAAATGTAATACATGATATCAACAGAGCCAAAGACAAAAATCACATGATCATCTCAATAGATGCAGAAAAAGCTTGGGACAAAGTCCAACACTCATTCATGATAAAAACTCTACAGAAAATCAGAAGAGATGATATTTACTTCAATCTGATAACAACCATCTATGACAAACCAACAGCCAACAACATTCTAAATGGACAAAACCTGAAAGCTTTTGCTCTAAAACCAGAAACAAGACAAAGATGTCCACTATCACTGCTCCAATTTGTGTTATGGAAACACTATCCAGAGCAATTAGACAAGACAGAGAAATAAAAGGAATAAAATAAGAAAAGAAAGACAAATTATAATTATATACAAAGGACATGATACTTTATGTGGAAGTCCCTAAAAACTCCACCAGAAAATTTCTAGATTTAATAACCAGATTTAGTAGTGTAGCTGGATATAAGTCAACACTCAAAAATCAATAGCATCCCAGTACACAAACAACAAACTCACTGAGAGAAAAATTAAAGCAATTATACCTTTCACAATAGCATCCAAAAAACTGAAATACTTAGGAATCAATCTAACAAAAGAACTAAAATATCTATACATTGAAATGTAGAATACTCTGAAAAGAGATCAAAGGGAATATAAGAAAATGTGAAGATGTCACTTGCTCATGGATAAGAAGAACCAACATCGTGAAAATCTCCATACTCCCAAATTTGTTATACAGATTCAATGAAATCCCAATCAAAATGCTGTTAACATACCTCACAGAACTAGAGAAAACATTCCTAAAATTCATTTGCAACTGAAGAGTCTTGGAATAACAAAAGTAATTCTGGGCACAAAAGGCAAGGCAGGAGGCATTCCCATCCCTGACTTGAAATTATACTACAAAGCTACTGTGATAAAATCAGCAAGGTACTGGCAAAAAAGAGAAATAAACAAACACACAAAAAGAAAAATAGACCTGAGGATCAGTGTAACAGATTAGAAAATGCAGCCATAATTGCAAACACCTGCAAACACCTGATCTTTGACAAAGCAGCCAAACATATTCACTGGTAGAAAGCGTCTTTAATAAATGGTGCTTGAAAAACTGGCTTTCTATTTGCCAAAGAATAAGACTATACCCGTGTTGATAACCATACACTGTACTAAAAGCAAAATGGATCAAAGATCTAAATATCAAAGCAGAAATGTTCAGTCTTCTGGAAGAGAAATTAGATAGAAATCTGGAAGAAATTGGTGTAGGCAGAGAGTTCATGAACTCTCTGCACAGGACATACTTCAAAGAGTAAACAACTGGGACCCATCTTTTAAAAAAATTTTTGCACAACAAAAGAAATCACCAACAGAGTGAAAAGACAACCCACAGATTGGGAAAAAATTTTAACCAATTGCCCTTCAGAAAAAAATCTATCTAGAACATATAAAGAATTTTTAAAAATCATAACCCCAAATTCAAAGACCCAATTCACAAATGGACATCTGAGATGAATACACATTTCTCAGATGAAGAAATAAAAATAGCAAAAAAATATATGAAAAGTGATCAACAGCATTGGTCATTAGAGAGCTGCAAATCAACACAGCACTAAGATTCCATCCCATTCCAGAAAGAATGGTTATTACCAAGAAATAAACTAATGACAAATGCTGAGGAGGCTGTGGTGAAAAAACAAAGCTTCTCTATTGTTGGTGGAAGCGCAAACTGGTGCATCCACCGTGGAAATTAGTATGGAGAGTCCTCAGAAAGCTAGTATTTGGGCTTCTGTTTGTTCCAGCTACTCCTCTTCTTCCCAGAAATATTAAAAAGATCATGCCACAGCAATCTATGTGCACCAATGTTTATAGCTGAGCAATTTGTAATAGCTAAATCTTGAAAACAACCCAAATGCCCATCAACTGAGAAATAGCTAAAAAAGATACAGTATTTTTATACAATGGCATACTACCTAGCCAAAAAAGATAAACTTGAGACTTTTATAGGCAAATGGATGCAACCTGACACCATAAACATTAGTGAAGTAAAGAAGTCTCACTTGTGTAAATATCAACCTGTCTCCCTGATGTGAGAAATCAAAGAGTAAATAAGGTCTAAAATGTATAATAGATAATGTGAAATGGGAAGAAATTGTTAAAAAGGAAAAGATGGGTGAAAGGAGAAAATAAAGATGGGAAAAGAGAGAAAAAAATGCCAATTAGTTAACTGCTAGTGTCTCTTAGTTCGTAGTAAAGGAAGATTTGCGGTTATACTAATTGAAGAATTTTTTCTTTTTGGATTGGTAAGAAACACAGAAAAACACTGGACTTTATTACTAGTAGATTAGTCTGGTAGAAATCGGAACAGCATTCTTTAAAACAGTAAAAATAAGATTTTATGTACTCTTATTAACTAAATATAATAGTATGTAGTGTATTGAATATTGTTCTCCTGTCATCTTGTTATGAAATTTAGTTTTACCTTTTTTCCATAAAGTAAAAAAATGTTAAAAATTTAAAAATAATTAAAGAAACTTTACATAGTGTCACTTTATTTAATATAGGTTTCAAATATATTACAATTTTTTAAAGTGCATTTTCCAGGGAACCTTCCCGTTGTTTGTCTCAGGAAAAAACAAAATACTCAACAACTGGCCAATGATCAGGTTAAAATGGATAAACCATCAAAGTTTTAAAAATAGGATCCTTTCCTGTGGGCATCGAGGATGGCCTGGGAGATACTATATTGGGAAACCAGGGGTCACTTATAAGCATAATAATAGTTCATAGATGCTACGCAGGTACATTTTAACTTCCTCTATGAACCATCTTTCATATTAGTCTCTTCCTCTAAAATAAGACTCAAGATCTTAGGATAAAAGCCTTGTTCAAATACCAAAATGCTGGGAAATTGGGCATGTGTGTGGGTTGGTGTGCATGTCTGGTTGGGAAGTGAATATTTGCTACATAAATTTTCCCGCTCTAATGTATGAAGGGCTAAGACAGAAGTACTCAACTTCTGTGATCTTCCTCTAGTGTAAAGGTGATGTGGGAAGTGTGAAATGCTTTAATAAGTGAGGTTGGAAAAGATAACTAGAGATGTACCACTAGCAGCCATGAAAGGAAGGTGACATGATCAGAGGAGATCCTGAAGGCCACTAATCTGAGTTACCTCTGAGTCCTGTCAAACCACTGAGCCCACAGGCTAACCAAGGGCAGCAGCGGCAGGTGGACGTGACTCCTCAGCAGAGACTGGCATCCCCTAGGCTGGTGGGCTGTCCAAACCATGAAGATCCAGAGGCTGCTGTCCTGGGGAACTCAGGCGCAGACCTCACCAAGATGAGAAGTCCAGTCACAGTCTCTGGTTGCTGCGGTTTCATCAAATTATATCCAGGAAGCAGCGAAGTCCACAAGCGACCTGGCCTCAGAGAGCAAAAGACAGACAAGGCCTTTTTCCCAAGGACTACACTACTTCCTTGTTTGACTAGGATATGTAAAATTTCCTCACATTCATTCTAATTCCATTCTACAGATGACAAAAGAGCAAGAGAAAGCTAGCTAAGAGAGTGTCCAAACTTATTCAAAAGAAGCTCTGAATCTGAAAAACATAGCTCTCGAAATTATTAGCACAGGACCTGGAGATCTAGCTCAGAGAGAGCTCTTGCCTAGTTCCCGAGAGATCTGGGGTTTGATCTCAGGCACAGCTCAGTAAATAAATAAATAAGCAAATAGTTTAGTTGGATTTTGTAAGTTTGTTTTCCTCGCAGCTAACCACAAGAAAAGTACTTGGAATAATTTTTGGATCAATTAAATAAAAAATAACGAAATTTATTGATTTCAATTGTAGCTTAGTGATAGAGATGTACTTAGAACTGAAAAGGCCCTGGGTTCTGTCCCTAGCACCAAACCTAAAATAAAATCTCAAACTGCTTTCTTTACCACTACAAGTTGGAAGTGTAATTTTCCATTTGTTACTTTGCTATAGACTTATAAAATTATAAAATGTTCAATCATTCTTGTCATACTGAGATAATGTATAGCACTCTACTAAGGTTGGAGTTACAGAGCATTGGAAGTCTGCACCTCCCACTCTGGTCCTAAAATTGCTGCTATCATCTACTTTGAAAATACTTCTTTCTGTTCATTCTGCTATGAAAATAAAACTACTGTAAAAATTAAAGTCTTTTAAAAATACTCCCCTTGTGTCTTATATTCTTCAAGATGGAAATAGCTATCAGTGAACAAAGCATAAAACACCTTTTTCTATTATGTTTCTTCTGTTTCAATCTGGTTTTCCTGTTTGTTTTCAACCATTACAATCTGCAACATTTTCAAGAAATATTTTCCCTATCATTATCCTTTCTCTGGATGCAAATCAGCAATTACTTAGCTCCAATAACAAAGTGTGAGGTCATAAATGAAGTCAGACACTAATTTAATCTGTTAAAGATTGAGAAATTGTCTGCTTGGTTTGGTGACAAGAGTGTAACCCAGGGCATTGTTTTTTATTCATACTGGCTAGTCTCTCTCTCTCTCTCTCTCTCTCTCTCTCTCTCTCTCTCTCTCTCTCTCTCTCTCTCAATTTTCTTTGAAGAAAATAACTGCAATCGTGATAAAATTTCCAAAGGTAATCTGAAATCATTTTCCCTAAACTCTAAGTGAAACCCAAGTCAATCCCGTCTCTATGTGTGTATGTGTGTTTTCAAATTATCCATTAAAATAGTAAAATTCAAGCAGCAGTCAGAAGACTTGCAATAGTGTCATACATCTGTTTATTTAGTTAGTATTACAATGATAACAAGTTAAGAGCATTAGATTGGTCTCCTGTTAAGAGGATGATGGTCAAGATTTCATTTTGTAAATTCCACTGTTCTTAAACATTAAAAATCTATTTTCCAAAAGAGTAATAATATATAGTATTAGTAAGGGACACATCTAAACTTTCAGACTTCTGATCAAAGGGATATTTGTTCATTAGTTTAAACTAAACATTAGAGACATTGTTTACTGCTTTTAGAAAAGCACAATGTTGAAACAAATATACAGGAAACATTTTTTTCTAGAGCAAGTTCAACCACTGTGCATCATGTCAATAGAGAACCTGAGAATCCCAGATTATTATCTCCAGATCATTGTAATACACTCTGACTTATTTCAACAAACAGCAAACGTGTATCTAGTGCATACTATGTACAAGCCAGCATATTAAGCAATACAAGAAATACAAAGAAGTAAAATTGTTGGTCCTTGCCCTGCTCAGATTTCTAGTGAGGTTAGCAAGATTAAACATAAGCACAAATCATTTCATTTCCAATGTTCTCAAAATGTAGTGACTATGTAAACTGGATTGCAAGAATTGTTTCTGCTGAAACCTAGAAAAAGTAGGGACATTCTCAGCCATGATTGGCCTTTGAATTAGATTTCTCAGTTTCAGATAGAATGCTATTCACACCCCTAAACCTGAAAGTTTTCCAGCCAGACTCACACCTGTCGCTGTTAGTGGCTGTACTTGAAATTGTTTCATGGACTTATAACAATGGGACCAGATAAACAAATATATATATATATAATGTGAGTATACACGTACATACCCACACACAACAACACTCAAATGTAGGGTGATGCTTCCCTTATATGTTTCCTGGAAATCTAGGATTTTGGGGCTTTTCACTCTGCATAGAGAGGAAGCTAGCCCACATTGTCATTTATCTTATTATTATAAGACAAGCAGCTACAATAAGAAAAATATGAAAAAATCTCCAAGTTTCACTGGACACGGCAAAAATAGAAAAACTGGAGGAAAAGATAAGAACCAGCAGAGAAAGGGTCTGAGGAGGCCTTAAGAGTGGGGAAAAGTTTCTTCCAGTCTCCACTACAACCCAGTGGGTCCCCCAAGAAAATGCCTGAGCTAGGCAAGGGCAGAAAAAGAAAGCAGAAATGCATTTTCCAACACCACCAATAAATAAATAAATAAATACATCAAACAAGGAAGGAACTTAATTAGGCACCGCTTGAAAGGCAGTGAAGCTCACAGGCCAGACAGACTGCACCCCAGCCTGCAGCCTGTGGTCACGTGGCCAACTTTGGCCAAGGCTCTGAATTGTCACCCAGATCTCTGACTCCCTGTCCCTGTAGACCCAAACTGGAGCAGGAAACCCAGGGTGCTGCAATTCCCAGGTCAGGTCCACACCTCCAGAAATTTGGGGAGGGAGCTGCTTGGCTTCAGTGTGGCCACCTAGGAAAGTGCTCTCCCCCTGACTCTCAACACAGATGCTCTAGAAAGGAGTAGTTTTGAAACAGAGAGGCCCTTCCCAGCCACGAAGGAGACTGGTTCTATGGCACACCTTCCCTAACCCAGGGATCTTCTATAAAGGCTTGTTCTCCAGCTCCTTTTTGCTTCAAACGGAGTAAGGGGGTAGGTCGCACAGAGCCTGTCTGGGGTGCAAACCACAGACCCGTTTTACTGCTAAGCACCTGGCTCTGGAGTAGGGGCTGTGGAGCATGCCAGGGAAGAATGCTGCCCAGTTCACTTCTGAGTGCGACTTCTCTCAAAGTTTAAGTCTGCCCAATTCAGTCTCATGCCTTCAAGTAAAGCTCCCCAAAATGAGAGCGGTAATTTCCGAATCACTGCAAGGAGCACCAGGCAGAGTGTGGCCAGCTGGCCCGCGCTCCTGGGCGGGGCTGGGGGCTGGCCGGGAACCCACCCGGAGAGAAACTCGTGGCTGCCACCAAGGATCAGTTTAGACAAAAAGAAGTAGCCGCAGGAGAGGCAGCGGACCGACCTCGGCGGCGTTGAATGGGTGCTGTGCACAGGACAGTGGGAAAAGAAAGACTGAAGTTACAGGATGTCGGGAGGAAAGGGGTGCGGAGCAGCAAGCGCAGTGAGGTACCAGCCAAAAGTGGGGGACAGGAGAAGGCGGTCAGAAAGCCTTTTCAATTTGTAAGCAAAGCTCTTAATTCTACCTTGGTCTTCTCGAGGCTCTCCTAGGTCCCTCTACCCGAGGGGTGAAGGAGCCTAGCCCCGGGGTACCCCCACCGCACCCAGGCTCCGCTGCAGATACCACCGCTTCACACTCAGCCTCCCTGAGGTTCTCTCCCTTCCTCCGCGCAGGGCCCAGGCTCTCAGAGCGTAGTGATCCGGGAAGTGCAGGTGCCATTACGAAAGACGCCTCCAGATTCCAGGTTCTCAGGCTGAAAGTCCTCCACACTGTAGGCGCGGCTCTTGAGGGCTGTGGCATAGTAGTCGACGGGCTCCTCCGCGGCGTTGTCCATCCAGCTGAGGCACAGGATGCGCTGGAAAGAGCGCTTGAAGTTGTCCGAGAGGAAGCCATAGAGGATGGGATTGGCGCAGCTGTTGGCATAGCCGAGGATGACGGACAGCTGGCTCACCGTGGCATCATCCTGCTCGGCGAACACGTTGACCAGCTGCACCACGTAGAAAGGCATCCAGCAGATGACAAACACCATCACCACCATCATCACCATGAGAGTGATCTTGCGCTCCGAGCGCTTGCGCTGCTGCCAACCGGCCTTGAGGGCCACCATGCGCATCTTGGCGATGATGAGCACGTAGCACAGACAGATGGCCCCGACGGGAAGCAGGAAACCCATGAGAAACGTGTACAACACGAAGCCCACTAGCCAGCGCTGGGCAGGCTCGGGCATGAGCATGTTGCAGGCCACCGTGCCGTCGCTGTTGGCCGCGGTGCGTGAGAAGACCACAATGGGCAGGATGACAAGCAGCGACAGCACCCACACGCCCAGGTTCACCACCTTGGCCACTGTGGGGCGACGGTAGCGGGCCGCTTTGATGGGGTGCACCACGGCCACATAGCGGTCCACACTGAGCACAGTCAGACAGTAGATGCTGGTGAACATGTTGACCGCGTCCACACTGAGCACGAGGCGGCAGAGCAGGGCGCCGAAAGGCCAGTGGCGCAACAGCGTGGAGGTGACCAGGAAGGGCACGCTGAGCATGAGCAGCTCGTCGGCAATAGCGAGGTTGAGGATGTAGATGTTGGTGGCCGTCTTCATCTTGGCATAGCGCAAAATCACGTAGATGACCATGGAGTTCCCGCACAGTCCCACCAGGCACACCACAGAGTAGATGAAGGAGATCAGGATGGCGCTACCCTGGCCCTCGCTTAAGGTCCCGTTCTGGGACGCGTTTCGCCCATGCTCTTCCATGCCGTCCGCAGCGCCGGCCCCAGGGCCCCTGCTGCAGCCACCTTCTCCGCAGCTGCCCGGGCTGGGGCTGGGAGAAGAGGAAGGAGAGGAGGCGGTGCCATTGGGGAACATCCCAGCTGACGGGGGCTGGTGGGGTGCGGGCGCTGGGGCGTTCTTCTCGCGCCCCCTCCGCCCGCGCCCTCCCTAGACACCCGGCCGGTCGCCTGCGGCTCACAGCCACCTGGCGCCTCGGGGTAGACCGCAGCGGTGGCGGCGGAGAAAGCAGCTCCCAGCAGCGCCGGCGGGGCTCATCGCCCCGCGGTTGCCTGCGCGCTGCCTCTGGCCGCTCCGGGGCGTCTGGGCACAGCGGAGCTTGGAGAAGCGGCCGAGGGGCTAGTGCCCGGCACGGCACAGTCATTAACTGGCGCAGCTCTAGACTGGTGAATGATTAATAGGCACCACCAGCGCGTCAGCAACTACGAAGGGAGGTGGTGGTGTGCCCAGGTGGTTTGTTCTCCCTCCCCCATTTTTTTCTCCTTCTGGCTCAATTAGAGAAGCACCTTAAGCGACCCCTCACAACACCTTCACGCAACCCTCAGAGGGACCAGGGGAGGGTCTCCCCTACCTGGATTGTGGCTGGAAGCCTAAAGTATAAATTCTGTCCCACCCCACCCCACTCCTACCCCAAGCAAAGGGCGAAAGGAACTCCAAACATGGACATTTGGAGTTCCTCTCAGTTTTCCTCAGTTGCTGCCCCCTCCAAGGGAGAACCCTAGCTCCGCTTCTGGGGTGCTTTCCGGGACCCACCTCTCACCCCCGCTTGCCCGGACCTTCCGACCTGCAGAGGCAGCTAAGGGCCTCCTTCCCAAAGCGCTCTACCTCCAGACAGACGCGTAGATGGCCAGCGCAAAGTGCATGTGGTCTGGCGGCGCGCTGACGTTCTCGGTGCGCAGTCCAGCTCCGTTGGGGCTCGGCCCCAGCGCAAGTGCCCACGCGAATACTCGGAGTCGTGGGAACTGATTCTAAGCCGAGAGCGTAATGAGCAGGAAGAGCCACAATGATGCTTTAGGGGATTCTGAGCTGCAGCGCGCACGGCAGCTCTGGGAAGATGAGGGGGGTTCAGAGGTCTGAACGAACCACTGCCAGCTCTTAATAAAGCCTGTAGTGCCTAGAGCCCCCTGGCCCCATAGGAATATCCACTGTAGAAATCGGGACGCGCGGCTGGGAGCTCAGGAGCAGCAGGAGGCTCCCTCGTAACGTGCCAGGCACTACATAGGAAATCCATCTAGGTGTTCACTCGGGAAAGATAAGGCTGCACGCTAGGAACGGCTCCGTTGTACTTTGTACCCTGGAGAGTTGGCCGCAGGGGTAGGGGTGGGGGAAGGAGCCCGTAGATGTCTGGGCGAGAGGGATTCGGGCTCCTCTAAATCCACTCACGGCTGGCTGTACCAGTGACCAGACCTGTCACCAACCTCAGGACCCAAGGAGCGCCGTTTGAGGTTTTCTTTGCAATATGATTGCCCTTGAGGTATGACCCGGTTCTAGTTTACCCGGCGCCTAAACCATTAGGACAGACATCGATGATAGCAGCCCTGAAGCTTGCTGGCTTCGTCTAGAAATTGCAGGTTGTCCCTTAAAGACAGAAGACACTTTTCAATGACCATGATTTAAAACTGACCTTTAGGACGTCCCACCATTCTGAGCTTCTAGTTACTTGCAGTTTGACCCAGTCAAAGGGAGAATCACAGCCCGCCCCCCAAATTCTTTGCAGGCACCCACTGTGCAATGACTGCCAGTGTCTGCTTCTCTCAGTAGTTTATCCTAAGGACGGCAAACAGAAACCAAACTCCTGGAAGCTGTCTGTACCTGACAGTCTAGCTACAGACATGGGTGCTCAGATTAAACACAAAAGTAACGTTTTAAGCCCTGTTGCTTTGTCCAGGTAATGATTTACACATATGTGTTGTAATTCCCCACATAAAGTGTTCTTGAAAGGGAAAGAATAATTCATAGTGCGTTGGTGATACAATCAGGGGTGGGAATGTGTGCAATGACACTGAATTATTAATGAGTAAAACGTTAGGAAGGAATTTGAAATTTCATATGGCTGAAGCTGTTTAACCCATTTCTTTATATAAATGAAATTTATCTGTAGCGGGGCAGGGAATTGTTATTACAGTTATGTTTCTTTTTATTTTAAAAATATAGTGCATATGGAGAGGAAACAGTGAATGTTGATTAGGTTACCCTGTACCCCAATAAAACAGCAGCACCCCTCCCCAAAAGCATTGTACTAGCCAGGCCTCACAGTGGCTTAGCTCCCTGTCACTCACTGGCTAAGGACAGCAGGCTATTTTGGGGGAGCTGGTATGCCAACAGTCATCCTTTAGAGGCCTTGACTTTGATCATGGTGGCTCTAGGGTAATGGAATTTGGTAAAAGGTAGTTGGTCATTAAAATTGCATTACATTCACTTTACAACACATGTAAAAAAATACTCTCAATTAAATTGTGGCTCCACGTTCAAAATAGAAGCATGATTTGACATGAGCGTGCCCGCTCTGCTTGTGAATTGGTTTCTGTGAGGGGCAATTTATCTATTAAAAGAGATGGACTATGAGATATCACTTTGCACCCACTAAAATGGCTGTAATAATTTGCAAAAAACAGAAAGTAAAAGTTGGAAAGAATTGGAGAAAAACTCATATATTGTTGGTGGGAGTAAAAAACGATGCAGTTTTAGTAAAAACGTTGGATGATTTTTTCAAAAGATATAAAATGGAGTCTCACATGGCCCAGCAATCTTTTACTCCTCAAAATTAACATAAAATGTATTGGCACAAAAATTTGCACATGGATGTTATAATAGTCCCAAATAGAAACAACCTAAATAACTATCAGTTGGTAAACGAATAAGCAAAAAGTGGTTTATTTAATTAATTTATTTACTTATTTATTGTTTATTTATTGTTTTTTGTTTTTGTGACAGAGTCTCACTGTGCAATTCAGAGTGACCTTGAGCTCACTCTGTAGCCCAGGCTGGTCTTGCGCTGACAATGATCCTCCTGCCTCAGCATCCCAAGCCCTGGATTGCAGGCATGAACCACCATGCCAGGCTAAAAGTGGTTTATTTGTGCAAAGGAATATTATTCATCTTTCAAAAGCAACAGAGTGCTGATGCATGATAGAATATAGATGAATCTGGCAGACATCATACAAAATAAAGGGAGGAAGACATAAAAGGTCTTGCACTGTGTGGTTCCTTTCATATGCTATGTTCAAGGTAAGCAAACATAGGGACAGGTAGCAGAGTAGTGATTGCCAGGGCTGAGGAAATAAAGAAAAAGGGAAGGGCTCTTTATTAAGCAGGAAGTTATATTTTTAGATGAAGAAGATATTCTAGAATTAGACAATAACCATGGTTGGACCTCATAATACACCAAAATTCACCGAATTGTTTTCTTTAAGTGGCTAAAATTAAGACTATGATGTGAATTTTACTTTAACAAAAATGTGATTGAGACATTCAGTGTTACTAAATCACCTCAGCTGCGTTTTGGTCATTGCATCTGTGAACTTAATAGTGAGCAAACAAAAGCAAAAACACAAAACTGGTTGTTTCTACTTTGGGGCTAAAAGCAGCATGGGAATTGGAGTTGCAGCTGTTTTTAAATTATACTTAAAACAGGAGCCATTTGGACTTCATGCAGTGTAAATAATTTCCTTAAAAAGTGAGAAAATTAATATAGGCTTGGGATTGCTATAATGTTTAAAGACAACAGCCTGTGAAAAGTCAGGACTCCACCGCCTGTTTTACCACATTGAAAACGTTTTCAACTCATGTTTAAAGTCTTGAAAACTCTGAGAAGAGCTTCTTTCTGTATCTAACGTATCGTCCTCCAGCTCTCTCTTCTTTGTTGACATCTTCTCTGTCCCCTCCATAATGGGGACTTCTCAGACAGAAGCAGAGGATATTTTTCCAGGAAGGAAGGAATGCAAAGTGTTAATTGAGCAAGTTTTGGATTCTTTAGCAGTGATTTTCGTCCCTTATTTTAAGTTTCTCCTACAAGCTGTACTCTCCTGTGCTTATCCTGGACCAGGTGCAGGCTTTGATTGTTGCATTCATCCCACTGTACTGTGATTTTTGTGTTTTGGCTGTCCCATCTCATAAATCTGTGAGCTTGTTGAGAACAAGATCTATATTTTATTTATCTTTCTGTCCCCAGAATCCAACATAATACCTAGAAAATCACCCAAAATCTTCTTTTTTTTTTTTTTAAAGGCATCCCATGGATACGATCTTTTTCTTTTCTTGCTCGTGAGTTGTAGATGCAAAGACATAAACTGTGGGTTTCTTAAAAGAGAAGCTTTAATATCTGGGTAATATTATCATCTGTAATAATTCCTTCTGCACTTTTAAATCATTCAGAGTGATTCCAATTTGCATGTTCTATATCAACAGTTATTATGCTGATGATTCATTCATTGATCATTCTCGGTCTTAAATTTCTTGGCAGAGAAAAGGCTCTGGAAAATGGGTGGTACATGCTTTAGTGGCTAATGATGGTTATTTAATAGTATCATGCCGTGTGAAAGCCATTATACATGGAAGATCATTTCTTTTTAATTGCAGTCCTAAGTCTCAGTTGGTTTGGTGAAATTATAATTATCAGGAGCTCCAACTCTGCTTCTGTTAAAATCATTAGGAATGTGGTTTTTCCACTCAAAACTGATAGTAATGCTCAAGTGAACTCTTCTAGGAGCATAGAAAAGGACTGGTTAGGGCCAAGGATTAAAGAGGACACTTTCCGTAACATATTCTGCAGTGGCATCATCAGTCATGTTACAAACACCTGTCTGGACAGATGGGACCAAGCTGAGTAGAAGGGGTGAGCACTACTTAGCAATATGGCCCAAAGTGGGGGATATGCCACTTTAGGACCATCTGCCATGAAGTAGCTAACATGATAACAGTCTAATAAGAAAGTTCCTGGGGTGCGAAGTGACTACAGGGCCAAGGAGCAGTCCTAGACTTCATTTCCCAGTGATGCCCAATCAGTTCACAGCAGCCTTGGCAGCCTGTGGTTCAGTTCATCACCAATCTCAGCAAATTCTCCTGGGCCTGCTGATTTTCCTATTGCCTCTTCTGTGAAACAGCAGGATACAGCCTTTTTTTGTGCATTCCGAAAAGACATATTTACTGTAACAGCTCACATCCTTCCCTATGGATTCTCTATTGCTAAATCATATTTCTAAAAACAAGAATTCAGCACATATAGGATACTATTATTATTAATGTCTAAATAAAAATAGAACAAAAGTGGTTACCTGTAATACTTTTGATGTTACTTGTATTACTTTAAATCATCCTTATCAGCAATCCATTTTTTTTCTGTAATAAAGTCTCTGTTAGCTAATGATCATAAGGAAGCTTACATCCATTTCAAAAATTTTGCCAAAACAGTCATAGTCTTTTTAGCAGAAAAGTAAAAGCTTCCAAAGTCACAAAAGCACATTTTATTTCATTTGATACCTCAGTTGATATTTGAGTTTTAGCAAAACATTTAAATATTTATAGCAAATTACCTGCTCCGAAAGACATGGCTATTCTTATGCCATGGGGTATATCTGCTAATCAGCTTCACCAGTTAAAAAAGAACACAAACCCCTGCACAGGGCTGGGATGGGAAGGAAAGCCAGTTTTATAGATTAAAGCTACATATGTAGGCAGCTCACCGTTATGGTACTGATATTTTGTTCCAGTTGTACGTATGCTGAGACAGGAATCTAGACCTATGTTCTATAAGCTCAATCACTGTTTTTCATAGATGCAAAGAATCACCTTAAGTGGCGGGGCTTTCTTTCTTTTTATAGTTAAATTAGAACAGTCTTGTGATAGCTAATGATGATACATCAATGCTGAGTGGATTAAAAAATACTTGAAGGTTAGAAATGCACAATTGTGAGTGTGCCTGTGAATTCCTGGGTCACCCGCTGGCCTCCTCCTTCTGAGGTCGTGTGGCCTGTGGTGGACCAATGCTGAGTCCCACCCCCGCTCTGCCTTCTCCACACAGCATGGAACATTATTTATTGGCATTGAGGAAGAGCCTGTGAACCAGCACCATATCTTTCCTGTCAGAAAGAAGTCACAAGACAGCACAGCCCAAGTGGGGACACTTGGCCCCATATGGTAGTAGAAAGCCATTGCTTTTTGTTGACAGCGTGGATGCATCAAGACCTCACTGTATATGGAATTAAAATTCAGACTATAATAGACTGGGCTTAACTCTATAATTGTATATAGCTACTTTTTCGCCCTTATTTCCTTGTTAGAAGAAAACAGA